GGAAAGAGAGAAAGACAGAGAAAAAGAAAAAGCGAGAGAAAGATAACAATGAGAAAAGAGAGAAATAGAGAAAGAAAAAGAGAAAAAATAAAAGAGGGAAACAAGAAAAAAGAGAGTGAAAAGAGAAAAAGAGAGAGAGAAATAAAAAAGAGAAGGAAAGAGAGAAATAAAAAGAGAGAGAAGAGAGACAAAAGAGAGAAAAAAAGAGAGGGAAAGCAAGAAAAGAAAGAGAGAGGGAGAAAGAGAAAAGAGGGGAAATGGAAAAAAGAAAAGAGAAAAAAGGAAAGAGAGAGAGAAAAGGGAAAAAGAAAAAAGAGGGAAACAAGAAAAAAGAGAAAAAGAGAAAAATGAAGAAAGGGAAGAAAAGAGAGAAAGAAAAAGAGGGAGAAAAAAGAGGGAAGGAGAGAAAAAGAGAGAAACAAAAGGAGAGAAAAAAGAAAAGAGCGGGAAACAAGAAAAAAGGGAGAGAAAAGAGAAAAAGAGAAAGAGGAAATAAAAATGAAAAAAGAGAAGGAAAGAGAAAAAGAAAAAGAGAGAGACAAGAGACAAAAAGAAAAAAAAAGAGAGGGAAAGCGAGAGAGAGAGAAAAGAAAAAAGAAAAGAGGGAAACAAGAAAAAAGAGAGAGAAAAGAGAGAAAGAAAAAGAGAGGGAAAAAGAAAAAAGAAGGAGAAAAAAGAGGGAAGGAGAGAAAAAAGAAAAGAGGGAAACAAGAAAAGAGAGAGAGAAAAGAGAGGGCGAGAAAAAAGGGATGGGGCCTGCTGGGGTCAGCTGGATCCGTCTTTTTACACTTCCCAGGAACGCCCGGGAGTACCGCCGCCGCGCGTCAAAGGCCGACTATAACCAGGAGGCAACCAGACAACTCTCGAACACCACATTTTACAAACCTCTCCCCTCTGATCCCACCTTGGACTACCAAAAGAAACTACACTGTCTCCTTAAAAGCCTCCCCACAGCTACTCGGGAACAAATCCTCACAGAATCACCTTCTGACCCCCGACCAGGATTGTTCTATCTACTTCCCAAGATCCATAAACCTGGGCACCCCGGACGTCCCATCATCTCTGGTATTGGCACGCTCACTACTGGTCTATCCAGCTATGTAGACACTCTTCTCAAACCCTTCGTAACCAATACCCCCAGCTATCTCCGAGACACTACTGACTTCCTAAGGAAACTACAAAACATCGATAACCTCCCCAATAATACCATCCTTGCCACCATGGATGTAGAAGCTCTATATACCAACATCCCACATGAAGACGGATTACAAGCAATTAGAAACACTATCCCAGAGGACACTACTGCCAACCTGATAGCAGACCTATGTAACTTTGTTCTCACCCACAATTATTTCCGGTTTGAGAACAACTTATACCTCCAGATCAGCGGCACAGCCATGGGTACACGCATGGCCCCACAGTATGCTAACATCTTTATGGCTGACCTAGAACAACGTTTCCTCAACTCCCGTCCCCTTTCACCCCTCCTCTACCTACGGTACATCGATGACATCTTTATGATCTGGACACATGGCCAAGAAACACTGGAGATATTCCACAGAGATTTCAACAACCTACACCCCACCATCAACCTCAGCCTGGACCATTCTACACGAGAGATCCACTTCCTGGACACCACCGTACAAATCAACAATGGAAAATTAGACACCACTCTCTACAGAAAACCCACTGACTCATACAGTTACCTACATGCATCCAGCTCCCATCCAGAACACACCACACGATCCATCGTCTATAGCCAAGCCCTTCGATACAACCGCATCTGCTCTAACCCCACTGACAGAGACCAGAAGCTTCAGGATCTCTACCAAGCATTTATAAATCTCAACTACCCACCCGGAGAAATAAAAAAGCAAATTGAAAGAGCCAGACGAATACCTAGAAACCATCTACTTCAAGACAGACCCAAGAAAACCAACAATAGAACACCACTTGTCATCACCTACAACCCCCAACTTAAACCTGTCCAACACATTATCAATAAACTACAGCCTATATTGGAACAGGATACCATACTCAAAGAGGCTCTGGGAGACAGACCCATAGTCTCCTATAGACAACCACCTAACCTCAAGATGATTCTTACCAACCACCACAGGACATACCACACTAATACCAACCCTGGTACCTTCCCTTGCAACAAACCCCGTTGCCAGCTTTGTCCACATATTCATTCTGCTGATACCATTATTGGACCTAACCAAGTGAGTTATAAGATCAAGAACACATATTCCTGCGCATCCAGAAATATAATCTATGCTATCATGTGCCGAAAGTGTCCGTCTGCTATGTACATTGGACAAACATCTCAGACACTTCGCCAAAGGATTAATGCCCACAAAACAGATATCAGACAAGATCACAAAGAGAAAACAGTTTCTTGCCACTTTAACCAGAAAGGACACTCTCTAAATGACTTAGCCACCTGCATTCTGCTACAAAGACCTTTTACATCTGCACTTGAAAGGGAATCCTCTGAACTGTCATTCATGTTAAAATTCGACACTTACCACCAGGGACTTAACAAGTCTTTGAACTTTCTCACCCATTATCAAGACAGTTTCCCCAATTATCACCTGTAATACCATTAACTCACAAACATCCCACTCTCCCTACCTTTAATATCAGCAATTCACAGACACTTACCTTCCTTCCTCCCCCTTCCCACCCCCCCGCATCCTCCTTCTGTTCTGCAATGTGATTTGTCCTTTTCATATGTGTTCATTTTTTTTTAATTGTATCCTTTGGTATATATGGTTGTGACTATTTTCTTCCACTATTTGATCTGAGGAAGTGGGTCTGGCCCACGAAAGCTCATCATCTAATAAACCATCTTGTTAGTCTTTAAAGTGCTACATTGTCCTGCATTTTGCTTACTACACCCAGGATGGGAAGAGGCCACTGACCAACTTCATCCACTAGGTGGCAGCGATGAGTCACGGGAGAATTTATTCCGTTTTCTTCCAGACTCCAAGTCACTTCCCGGGTCTGAAGGCCGGATGCTTCATTTAGCACTGCTGGTTTCCAGCACCTGTCTAGGAATGGCTCTGCTTCCTGGGCCGGCAACCTCTCTGTAGCGAGAGGCTGGATTTTACAGCCTTGATCAGGACAGCACAATCCAAAACTAGGCCACAAAGTACCACCAGAAATATTCCAGCGGCTCTCCCAGGTGCACCAGAAACACCACCTGGCTCCCCAGTGGCAGAGAAGGAAAGTTCCCGTGAGCAGCCATGCACGGCAGCCAAGGGCAATCCCCATCCTGAGCCGACGTGCTCGCGCCCGCAAGAGCAAAGGGGCAGGGTGTGTACTGTCGCCAGCCTGGAGGAGGTGGGCCAATAGGTTTGCAGTGGCTTTGGGAATTGATAATGGACCACAGGGTGGAAGGAGTGGGAAAACTAGGGTGCAAGGGGTGGGGTGGGCGGAGAACTTCCATTTTTTTGGCCAAAACGTACAATTTGGGCCCCGACCAAACTCTGGACAGCACCTCCCTTTTGAGCGCAGCCGTCCATCCAAGTCCACCTCCGAGAAGAAAAAGGGGATGGGAGGCCGGAGGGGGTCGGTGGATGTAAAATCCAGTCTCTCCCTACAGAGAGGTTGCCGGCCCTTACCACGAAACAGAGCCATTCCTAGACAGGCGCTGGAAGCCAGCAGTGCTAAATGAACTTCCCAGGAGGCACCGCAAATGGAAACGCTTCTGGGGTTTTGCCTGAAAAAAATTCCTTCAGTCAACAACCCGATTGTCCTTGAAAACAAAGTTTCGATGGAAAATTATTTGCCCGGTCCTAGGGCAGAAGCTTTCACCCCACGGTGCTTGGATCCGGCACAGCTCAGTGGTTCGGAACGGCGTTACAATGAGGAGCGTGTGTCATGGAGCAGTCATCCCCGGAAGCATGCTTGTTACTTGGAGGGGCTTCTTCCGCCTCCTCCGATGGGTGGGGTAGTGGTGTGACGCTGCACAGAATGTGGGGGATATTGTAGGATATTCTGAATATCGATACTGCGTTCTGCCTGATTTGCCATGCCAGAGAGCTGCAAGAATGTCATCCTCTACCAACGCTGGTGGTCTCGTTTATTTTTGTATCACCTTGGAAATGTTATTTACTTAATCCCACAATATAAGAACGAGGGGTCAGCAAATGCAATGAACAGGCAGCAGGTTTCAAACAAACCAAAGGACGTTTTTCTTCACTCAGTCCACAGTCAACCTGTGGAACTCCTCGCCGGAGGCTGCGCTGAAGACTAAGATTATGAACAGGCAGCAGGTTTCAAACAAACCAAAGGACGTTTTTCTTCACTCAGTCCACAGTCAACCTGTGGAACTCCTCGCCGGAGGCTGCGCTGAAGACTAAGATTTGAACAGGAGTCACAAAAGTGCCAGATAGAGTCATGGAGGTTAGGTCCATAGAATCATAGAACACTAGAATGGGAAGGGACCTCGAGAGGTCATCGAGTCCAGTCCTCTGCCCTCACGGCAGGGCCCGGGTAGGAATAGTGTCCCGAGCCTCTGTTTGTCTTGAGAGATGGTGGCAGAAGTGGGATCCATTTCTCTGGGAATGGATGACAGGAGAGGTATCATGTGACGATTAGCTGTTGTGATCCCTCCCTTTGGGACACCTGCAATTGGCCACTCAGCACACAGTCAACCTGTGGAACTCCTTGCCAGAGGATGTGGTGTGGGCCATTATTGGCAGACAAGAGACTGGGCAGGATGGACCTTTGGTCTGACCCAGTCGGGCCGTTCTTGTGTTCTTAAACAGGAAGAGGTGGGAAAACCCAGGGGAAAACAGACAGGAAACTGGATTCAGGCCTGCGGGAAGCTAACCCCAATAAGCATCGAACTGTTTGCCTCTCCGGGCGTGGGGTATTGCTGTTCACACACACAGGTAGCTCCCAGCTGTGTGTGCCGGGCCCCGTTACCTGGCTTTGAAGCACTGATATTGCAGGTACGATTCCAGGATATGATCCTTAAAGTCGTAGTTGACGGTCCAGTAGACGCAAAGCTGGGCGTGCTGCTGGATCAGCTCCAGCACCGTCCGGAAGCCCTCGGCCATGTCAAACCCTTCACCCCTGCCCCCTTTCTCCCAGGCATAGACAGACAGGAGCTCCAGGGCATACTGCGGGGGCAGGGACTCCCCTTTCTTCAGCTTCTTTGTGAGGGGAGAGACGTACTGGGAGGACAGAAGGACCGAGTTGAGGCCGACAGGCAACAAAAGCAACAAAACGGCAAATGAAACGTCATGTTGATCGACACAAAGTCATGCACAGTGGACCCATACGATAGGATGGGGACTCAATTGGCCACAACCACTCAAGAGAGCTCGTGGAGGCCTTGTGGGGCATTCTCTGGAAACACCCCCTCTGTGTGCATTGTCAGTCAAGCGTGCATTGTCAGTCAAGCGTGCATTGTCAGTCAAGCAAGCCAACAGCATGTGAGGAACCATTAAAAAGGGATCGCGAATAAGATCAAGAAGGTCGCATTCGCTCTGTATAAATCCCTGGGACACCCACGTCTTGAATACAGACAGGGCCGCCTCCCCTCTGAAAAGATCTCTGGACGTTGGAAAAGGTTCCGGAAAGGGCCACCAAAATGATGCAGGATTTGGAATGGGCCCCATATGAAGAGAGATGAAAAAGACCGGGACTTTTCAGCTTAGAAAAGAGGAGACTAAGTGGGGAGAGGATCGAGGTCTATACAATCATGACGGGTGTGGAGAAAGGGAAGAAGGAAAAATGATTGACTTGTGGAACTCCTCGCCAGAGGAGGTGGTAAAGGCCAGGACTTGAACAGAGTCCGAACAAGAACTAGATAGATTCATGGAGGTTAAGTCCCTCAATGGCTAATAGGCAGGATGGGCAGGAATGGTGTCCCTAACCTCAGTGTGTCACAGGTTGGGAACTGGTGGCAGCGGTGGGATCATGTGATGATTCCCTGTTGTGTTCCCTCCCTCTGGGGCACCTGGCATTGGTTGCTGTTGGCAGACAGGACGCTGGGCTCGAAGGACCTTTGGTCTGGCCCCGCTTAGGTTCGACAAACCCTGCTACAGTTCATGCCCCAAAACCCACTCTGCAGAATGGGGAAAGGGCTGGGAGAGAGCAGTCAGGGGAGAGGGAGTGCTCCAGGATGTCTCGGGGCCTTCCAGGCATTCCCCGAATGACTCCGCCCCCAGCGAGAGGCGGGGCCGTGGGTGCGGCCTTTGTACCAGTGCTTCACCAGGCAGATGAGGCTCTTCAGTTTGGTGGGGAGACCCCTGACGAAGTTCCTCTGCAGCTCGGTGAAGCAGGAGGAGAACTCGTTTCTTTTGGGCTTGCTCTTAATCAGCTGGACGTAGACCGCAGGCTTGGGACGCGTATAGTCTCTGCCAAGCTGGCCTAAGGGAGGACAAGGGCAGGGAGGGAGGTTGGGGGTCGCTCCAGGCAGATGAGGCTCTTCAGTTTGGTGGGGAGACCCCTGACGAAGTTCCTCTGCAGCTCGGTGAAGCAGGAGGAGAACTCGTTTCTTTTGGGCTTGCTCTTAATCAGCTGGACGTAGACCGCAGGCTTGGGACGCGTATAGTCTCTGCCAAGCTGGCCTAAGGGAGGACAAGGGCAGGGAGGGAGGTTGGGGGTCGCTACGCGCTGAACGTGGCCGGGTGGCTGCTGGCACGTTCGCTCTCCTCCGCCCACCCTGTTCCCTGGGCCCACACAGAGAACTCGTTTCTTTTGGGCTTGCTCTTAATCAGCTGGACGTAGACCGCAGGCTTGGGACGCGTATAGTCTCTGCCAAGCTGGCCTAAGGGAGGACAAGGGCAGGGAGGGAGGTTGGGGGTCGCTACGCGCTGAACGTGGCCGGGTGGCTGCTGGCACGTTCGCTCTCCTCCGCCCACCCTGTTCCCTGGGCCCACACAGCCCCGCAACCCCACCTCTCCTGCTCTGGGAGGGAGTTGGGTGTTGGGGGCAGGCTCTGGCCTGGGGCAGGGTGAGAGGAAGCAGACTACCAGTGGGGAGAGCGTATGGGGAGCAGGTGGGGCCAGAGGAGAGACCCGGCCCCAAACATCAGTGGAGCCAGGCCCTGAACCAGGAATATTCCTGCTACATGGGCATCAGAGGCCCGTAGACCTCAATGCCTACGTCGGAGAGGAACCAACGGTCCAGACCGACTGGTTGAGCCCCCTGTGGAAGGCCTCCAGGGCCTTGCCTTTCCTGCCCCAGAAATCGATGCTCCCGAGATCCATCTTCCGGGGTTCGATTGAGCAGGTCTGGTGAAGACCCACTAAATCAAATGCTGATGTTGAACTTTACAGGGCCGTGATGCAGAAGGGAGGATGGCGGAAGGGAGGATGGCCCGTCGCCGTCTCCCATCCACCTCCTGCAGCGCGGTCGCCGCAGACATTCGATTTCAGATCCGTCGACTCCCGCTACGAGAACAGCGTATCTCAAGGCAAATTTCTCCTCCAGCGTAGAGCTGTGGGGAGCACAGACTCGAATCTGTTTGCTACCCCGTTCCACTAGTGTCGGGGAGGAGGCACGAAAGG